CACCTCTTTGATCTTCGATCACGTTGACGACCACGTCATAAATAATTTGGACGAATAATTTTTAAAATCATCGAACGTTCGAACGTTCTTTCTCCTCTGCACGAGCGATTATCTGCGTCTGTGTTCGTCTCTCGATTTAAACGAACGTCGTCTCGAACGAGTGGGGGATGGGGTCGAGCAATTTCAAACGCAACAATCATTACGCGACGTCGGAATGCGCTTCCTTCCCTTCCTCGATCTCTCGCAGACATATGGTCGTAATTTACGTCAATGGTGGACAGACATCCGCGACAATTCACCTCTCTTCCTTGGCTTCTATCGTCTCTACGCTTCACGTTCTACGTACTTTCGTTCTCACGGACGATAAATACAACATTTGCGCGTTTTGATTAGCAATTCGTACGTGACGCACGGATACACCCACCGTGTTTTGTTACTTCGAATGAATCTCTGCTGCTCGCTGGGACGCCATGCTTTTCTCCATAACTCCATACGATGACATTATCAGAGAAAAAGCCAAAAAGAAAAAATCTCCCTTCTTTATCATCCATCTTCACAGCTGAAACTTATGCCATCCTGGAAGCCATTAAATATGCACACTCAAATAACGAAGCCCAGATCGTCATATACACCGACTCTATGAGCGTTACAAAATCATATGATCAAGAAAACCAATATCTACCATCCAGGAACTAAACCAGTACCAACCTAACACAAACGCCACAGTCATCTGGATTCCAGCTCGTCAAGGCATAGAAGGAAATGAAAAAGCCGACGCAGCAGCGAAAGAAGCCACAGTTCTCTCACTTACTAACAATCGCAACCATCTTCCAATTCCCTGCGACGATCAAATAATCCATTGCAAAAAAAAATAGCAAAAAATGAATGGGACAATACATGGAAAACAACAAAAAGTATCCAATTACGCAAAAGTATCCAAGACTTTCACCAGCAAATACCAAATTTTAACAACAGGAAAGAAGAAATAATTATCACACGCTTAAGAACCGGTCATACCAATCCGGCCACACATGAACACAAAATTAAAAAAGCTACACCACCCACCTGCACTCATTGCAATAACTAGCCACATACTGTACGAATGTCACACCACAGAAACCCAAAGACAGAAAATACGGAATCAACGCAAACAAAGCGTGTTAAAATATCTCAAAAACATAAATTACTACGCACATATTTAATGGCACTTAATGACCTCGCTGTCGATGCGACATTAAAGAAAAATAGAAGAAGAAGAAGAAGAAGAAGAAGACATTGTCGTAACTTTCTGTAAAATAGTGCTCGGTTAAATTCGTTCTCCCGGTGACGATACATGCTTGTTTCGCGACAGCAAAATGTTTATTTAAATAGATCGTAAATTTGGTAAACTTGGTACTCGTGCTCTGTGCAAGTGTTCTTCAATCGATAATTATCGTACGTAATTACACACGTACGTATCGCACGATGAATTGTCGAACCTCCGTTTGACGAGAGATCTCGAGTAAAGAGATTGCGTGGTGAAAAGTAACAGCCAGTTCTTTCGAAATTGTTCCGAAAAGATAAGATTTCCCGCAGGTTCTCCTCTATTTTCATGCTAATGAACGCGCATGTCTGAGCGATCGGAAAGTGTCGTGTCAGGGCGGTTCGATGGCACGCGAGGACTCTCGTTTGAAGCGACGCTGAAAGGAATTGCACAAGCGTGTATTATACTTTCTCGTCCGCGATACAGCGTTCCAACGGGGGTTACTTACAAGCGTGTACGCGTTTTATGGCGTACTGCTGCCCCGTCGAAGGTGGTCGTCGACCAAGTCACGCGTGTGAATATTTAAAATTGCGGCCGTTCCTCGACGTTTCGCAGCCTCGTCAAACGACTTAAAACAGTTGTCGAAGCAGATAAAATACAAAATTATACGATCCTCCCCTTTATTTGCTTTCCTGTCTGGGTCGTTTAATATTTTCTCGTTATGTCTCTCTCTAGCTAGAGAAGCTCTCTCTCAATATCAGATTTGCCGATGAAAAAAGTCGCCGATTTTCAATTTTCGATAATTTCAACTTCTGTTCGTTGTTGAAAGCACGGAGGAGGAAATTTCTCGCGTTTCTCGATGCTAAACGATTCAATGGTTTCTTCAGATGTCGCCGAAGGAAAAAAGAAAAAAAACCACCGGTTAATTAATTCTCGGTAATCCCAGTGGACGTAACTTCTGTTGAAAGGAAACCGCATGCAGTAAGGAAAATCGGTTTCATCTCGGTCGCTCTCGTCGACAATCGGACACGATTAGAAAACGCGAGACGACGGCGGCGGCGTGGAAATATTTTTCGCGGAACGTCTCGTGTTCAGCGCACGGTGACATGCATAAATACATGAGAATGTCCGCATGATAACTATACCGCACAATGTACGAATATACGCGAGTGGCAACACGAAGGAGCAGGACTTGGACATGGCGCCAAGTCCCGTCGCGTGCGACCATAATGACACTGTATTACGTATACACTCGTTTACTTCATGCTGAGGCATGTAAAACGACGTCCTCCTTTTCTTTTTCTTTTTTTTTTTTTATTCCTCTATTCACCCTGCTGCCATCCGCGTGTTTCAACATCACGCTCTATCGTGTACCGTTTGCTCGCGTATGCCGTGGCGTGTGCTAGCACGAAGGAGGAACCACCACAACCACCCTGCTGGTGGAGGTGAGGCAGGCGACCCCTCTCTTCGTGACACAGTTGAGCGAACTTCCATTTCATTGGCACGTGACACGTGAGACTCGTGCGTGGTTTCTAAATTTCTGCGTGTACGAAAGTATCTTCGAACTTTTTCCCGCCCGGAGTGGCACTTTTAACGAACGCGTGTATCACGCGTGTGTATAAAATACACTTTGAAAATTCGTCAACAGCGTGCACTAACAGAATCACGTTCATCGCTTTACACGGCATTCTAGGTCAACTTTTTGCTTCCGGAGAATTATATTGTATCGTTTATCGCGTGTCGCAGTTCCACCTGTTTCTTTTTTTTTTTTTTTTTTTTTTTTTTTTTTTTTTTTTTTTTTTTTTTTTGTTTTTTCTTTCTCTGTTTTTCTTTCTGTCGTTGGCTTGGCGCAGTGTTACATAAAAATTCTTACGTAAAATGTTGCGGAGAACTTGAAAACGTTCTGTCGTTGCCTCGGCTGGTGGTAGATGATTTAGAGCCCCGAGGAAACATCGAGTATCTCGAGTAATCGATGAATTCTCTCTGTTATTATTCTCGCCGTCTGTCTCACATTTTGTCGCGATACTCGTACTTGATTATTTCTTCTTTTTCTCTCTTCATAAAATCGCCGAGTAACATATGCAACGATCAAAGATTAACGAGCTCATCAATTATTTACGAAGAAAATCTAAATGCGCCAAGTACATCATCGTTTTTATCACTTACCCTTGATTTCCATCTTTCTTTCTTTTCTTTTCTTTCTTCATTTTAAAATTCAGTCGAACGACATTGTTTAGCTGACGAGTTAGTTGATCGTTAAACGCAGACAATTTCGACTGGCCTACGTAAGAGAATCGATACGATCGAATTTGATTCGATTTACGCTCCGGTCCGCCGATAATTTATTATTACTCGCTGGTTTAGCGAATTTTACTTGCACTTACGTAAAGGTGACGCTTTCGCGTTCGCTTATTCATTAAGTCGTCTCGCGATAATTGTTTCTGCGTAATATACTAAGTATATTCCTACGTATGAATATACTTGGGGGGGTGTGAAAGGTAAATTGCTAACGCGTTAATCACAATGCACAGATAATCACGGCCGGTTACTTGGAGCACGATGTGATGGATTGTAATGATGTGTTCGCGCTTTGACGAGAAGAAATATGTATATGGTAGAGTTTTACGCTTTTTACCGAGCGGCGTGTTCGAGTAGGTTTCAAGTGCTGGTAATTGATAGTTTCGCGGTTTGTATATAGCTGAGAAGCTTGGAGTTTGGACTATTGTCTCCCGAGAGAGATGAAATCAATTTCTTTCCCAATGATTAAAATTCCAAGTTAAAGTTCCACGCTTTCGCGCAGGTGCACGTAGAATTTTTAAAGTTTCGCCAATTTTGACAGTTTCGAGTGAAAACTGTGCGCGCAACTCGTTCGGGGAAGAAGAACTTTCACGCGAGAGTGAAAATCTCGGGGGTATCGGAGGAGGAAGGAAAAGAGAAGAAAAGCCGCAAAAGAAAACACAGAAAGCGACCGCAGACGGGAGTTATTGGCCTGTTTACCTCTTTGCCAGCGAAATTATCCACTCGTCCGATAGTCTGCGGTAACGTGGCCAAACGGAGGCCATTGCTGCCCGCTCGAACGCCGGAAGAAATCGTCGTACTCCGCCGAGACGCGCGTTCACCGGTGAATTCCCTTCCTGTGTGCGACAAATTCACAAAATTCTCTCTCAACAGTCTGGCCTGTGAAATAATAATAACTCGATACGATTCATCTCATAGGTAATTGGAAAAATCGACGACGATTTCCAAACTTGTCTCTTTCTCCGACCGTTCTGTGGGGGGAGGAAAAAAAGGGAAAGAAGAAACGAAATACTGAGAAAGCAAAGACACTTTCGCACAGACGTACTGCAGGGCCAGAGTGATAAACGTAGACGCGTAAAGCGGATGTGCATCCGATAAGGATGTCCCGTGTGCTCCGATAAAACCAAGTCAGTTGTTCCTCTCTTTCTCTTTCTCTTTCTCTCTCTCCCTCCCCACCTTTCGGGTTTTAACGACGTCGCGAGTAAACGAGTGGCTCGCCGCGCGTACTCTTTGCTCACCGTGTCATTCGGTCAACGATCTCGCGAGGCGGGTTCGTGCCACGAGTGGCAGCAGATCGGGCAAAAAGGCGCACGACGTAAGAAAAACTCGGTCAAATGGATCGAGAGAGTATCGCCTCTCTCGCTCGTTACACTATACGCTCGTGGTGGTGGTTTATGTACGTCTCTCTCTGTGTATGTGTATACATTGTCTTTCTCTCTCTTTCTCTCTCTCTCTCCACGCGTGTTTTCTCCTTACTGTCCTCCTTCTTTCACCCTCTCCGGAGCCATGTGTCTTCCGTGTCTCTCGTTAGAGAGCAACCAGAATTCTCGCATTCTTTTCCCACCCCGTTATGTTTCCGCACAGGCGAAACAGCTGTGTCTAGTATTTTTCTATGCCGCGTCTGGTTAGGTTGGGTTACGTTAAGCTGGGGGCCAGGTAGCTTGTAATTAGCGGTGAGTTATCGTGAGAAAATGTAGTAGGTGGGAAGCACCGCGGAGAGTTTAGTTTGGCAAATGTTCTTTCTCTTCTTCTTCTTTTTTTTTTTTTTTTTTTTTTTAATTTAGAGTTTAAAATTTTCGTTCGCAGAGTTTCTCTCGCTTTTGGAGTAGATTCAAAAGATAAATATAAATAAGACTGTACTGTGAAAAAATATTTCTCAGTCGTCAATTCATACCCCGAATTGAGAGAACACCTTTGAATTTCCTTGGCCTTGGTGCATCGGTGGCATATTTTTAGTATAGATTCAAAATGAACGGAGGAAAATGTTGACTGCAGATTTAGAAGATTCAACTGAAACGAGAGTCTCAGTTTAAACATTTAAACGAGGCGAGGCGCGTACGTCGCTCCTCGGGGGAGGAGTTTCATCTGTTTCGCGTAATAGTCGCCGCGAAACTTCATAACCCTTGGCATCGGGACCGGAGTCTGAGTAATTATTTTCGTCATCGAGCGGCGAACGAGCGCAAGAGCCTCCTGTGTGCCTCTCGCTATTTGTAAACAGTGTGTTTGTCAACAACAAATCCGGCCAGTTCGTTACGCCCTCCGTTACGTTTGCCAAACGACGAACGGGTTAGGTCCGCGATCGTTCAACCTGCCCTCCTTTCTTCCTGCCTTTTTTTTTCCCCCTTTTTTTTCGTTTTCATTCGTCGAGAGAATCCACCTTTCTCGCGGGAGGTTCGTTCGAGAACCGAGGAGGCAGGAGGCAAGAAGAAGAAGAACGCGCACGCGGATCAACGATGACTCGTAACATCACCGTCAATTACTGCAATTAATCTTCCGTGGTTCGTGCCATTTATTAACGTTCGTGACATACGTGGCGCCGTTATTAGCTACTCGCCATCCTTGAAATCTCTTCTTACGTTCGACGACTTCTACCGCTCGCGCGGCAAATAACGTATAAATGTCCGATTAACCCCTTGCGCTGGCAATTGATCGCGCGGACCATAACGAGTGACCGATCCTCATATCAATAACTCGTCGGCGTGATATCCGCTAAATAGAAATTATCAATATAAATATAAAATAAATAGCAGTTGAAATCGGAAATACGTAATAAATAGATTCTTAAACATCTACTATAAAAAAATATATAGTAATATTTAAGAATATTTTATCAGTGTGAATTAAAGAAGTGCATACACGCACTGTACAAAGTTACCCTGTTACTCCAAAAAAAAACGTGCGGGCAACTTATCATTTGTTTTGCCTTTGGGTTACATTTAAATATACTTGAAACTGAGAAAATGTTGCAATTTGGAAGCTACGTGGAAATACTCGACCTCTTTTTCTTTTTGGTCCAAGATTTCCCCCGGAGGAAATTTCCTTCGAGGCTCAAAAAACTTTAGAACTAAAATTGTTAAAAAAAAAGAGAGAAAATTTTGTTTACCGAAAATTTCAAATTATCGTGCATTGGGGTTGTTAGAATGACATTCTCCAGTAATTTAATTAATAATCTCCGGAAAAATTCCCCTCTTTTCAAGAGATCCTGCGACTTTTACTGAAAAATCTCGCCAGAAGAAAAAAAAAAAAAAAAACAAGAGGAGAGGAAGATTCGCGATCTCGTGACGAAACGCTAGAGAGAGAGAACTCGCAACCAGGGCCGCGTGATAAAAGATAAACAGAGGGATTAAACGGGGGTAAATATTGGAATTGGTCGTTTTATTGGAATGCAATTCGTTTCGGCGTGTGTCTCCTCGCGGGCATTGCTCGCATTGTTCCGTCTGTCCCTCTGTGCAACGTTGCTGTCGAACCGCAAGGAATTCGCGGCCCGACAGCTCGATCTATGGATCGATCATCCATTCCACGCGCTCGATGCGCTGCATTTACGTGCACCGAATTTCGCGGTACAGCCGTGGCATGTCGCGAAACTTTATGTATGTGTGTCGGAGGGGCTTCCTCTGGCCTGTCCGCAGGTGAACGAACCTGGCCCCGTTCGGTCCCGTACGGTTCTACTAATTTACAAATTGACGAGCCAAGCTGTTCCATCGTGTCGGCGACAAATCGTTCCTCGTTCGGCTGCAGCTGATCAATTTCACGAGACAATTGGGGATTAGTCGGCAATTGTGTCGAAATCCCCACTCTTACTTCCTATACTCTGATTCTGCCAAGGAAAATTAAGAAAAAAAAAGAAGAACGAAACGAGACAATTCGATTCGAATTTTTGTTAATTTAAACAAGGTCCGGAGAATAGAGGAGACAGAATAGAGGAGAAATTTAGGTCAGATTTGCCAGGTGAAGCTTTCGTAAAAGTTGGGAATATTTTTATCACAATTTGCCTTTGCTACTTTGACGAAAGACGAACGCTACATCTCGCGTTCAGAAATGATTGAAAATTGAAGGATTTCCTCGCTGTGTGATTCACTTCGTGCAAACACAAATATTTCGATTTATCTATTATATAATATTGATCTACATCGATCTATATCGAGTGTATTTCTGCATTTTGCGGCTAATTTTGTTGATTTAGTTGAATGAAAAAAATCGTGATTACTCGAATTTATGGCAATCTGCTAAAGAAATCGTCTGAAATTGAAAGCACTTCGATTCTTCTTCAATTTGCTGAGGAATTCTTTTAATTCTTCGAGAGATTGCTCTCGCTGGGGAAAAGAAAAGAGGAACGACGACGTGGCGTGCTGTTATTCTTCCTTTTTATTTTTATTTTACGTCGTTCGATAATCGATTTTCTCTGATTTATGATGATTGGTTGCTCCTTGCTAGTGGCCCCGGTATCTTTCAGCATTGCAGAAGAGATCGATACTTTCCCGAGTTTACGATTCGCATTCGACACGCACGTTCAAGTAGGAATTTTTTGTTAAAACGAAACTCCGAATTGCGAAACAAATTAACGGCTGTCTCTCTCTCTCTCTCTTTCTCTCTTTCGATCAAAATCATCCACCGAGGTTCAAACAACGTTCCTGCGAAAATTAAAATGACTGTCGCAAGAATTAAAAAAATTTACACAATTAAAACCCTTCGTTACAATTCGAACAATTTAAAATTTCTTCATCTTCCGATTGTTTCGGGGATAATTGATAAATATTCGTTCGTTTCTTACAAGTGAAATGAAATTTTTCAATCGCAGAGTACGTTCGTTTCGTTTCGTCAGTTTTTCGAAATAAATGCCAGGACACTCGTCCTGAGACGTTTCGAGCGAGACGAAAAGAAAGAGGGAAAAGCAGAAAGAGTCAAGGGGGGAAAAACTACTAAAAGCAACAGATTGCAAGTAATTTAATGAACGTACGTACGTACGTACGTACGTACGTCGTTTATTCAGCGTGGACAAATACACGTAGCAGCCCTTTGCAAGTAAAAGGGTTAACCTTATTGCGGGTTCCCCTCGACGAGGGAAAATCACGAGTACGAGAGAGGGTATAGCAGGCAGCGGCCGTAGGACAAACCGCGACGTCGAGAAATTGCATAACGTTATTAATTGTAATTAACGTTGCGTTACATGCTCACGCAGTGGCAAGCTGATTACAGCCCAAGAGAGAGAGAGAGAGAGAGAGAGAGAGAGAGAGAGAGAGAGAGAGAGAGAGAGAGAGAGAGAGAGAGAGAGAGAGAG